GGGTGTGTGTGTGTGTGTGTGGGTGGTTGTGTGTGTATGTCCAGATAGTGTGGAACATGTCACTGATTCCAGCTACTACAGGAACTCTGACAGGATGAGCTTAAGTACATACAAACCAGTTGACTACTGTTGAATGTGTGTATGTATCAATCTCAAGGTCTTTGTGCTTTGCACACATGAGGGCCTGAGTTTGAATCTCTAGCACTCACATAAAAAAAATTTAAGCAGAGCTGGAATCCAATTGTTGGGGTAATGGGGTGTGAGGGGTGGAAACCAACAGATTCTAAGATCTCAGATGCCAGACTAGATGAATTGGCGAGCTTATGCCCTGTCTCAAGGCAATATAGGAAAGAGTGAGAGGAAAACCTCTGACATCCTGCTTTTGCTTCCACATGCTTGTGTACAGGTAGGTACAGCAGGATATTGACAAGTGTGAACCATGTCCACATATACAACATATACACATATAAACTACAAACAAACTAACAATCATCAAAGAAAACAACAGCAACAATGAACCAATCACTTTTAAGTAACCAAGAAAGGATCAACAGTCCTGTCAAAGCTCTCTTCATCTGACATGGGCTGTGACTCACACTGTGGGAATAACCATGGAGGGTTACACTGCTGTCTTCACTACTGTGGCCACTAAAAAATAAATCAACAGTGAACAATACCAGATACCCCAAAAGACACATGATCAGGAGAAAGCCACTTACTTTGAAGACTGTTACATTAAATTTCAAGGGCTGTCCATCTTAACAGACATGCAAATCTCAACACAGAACACAATAAGTATGAAAATGACAAACAAACAAAACCAAATTCATTGTCTCTAGGAAACAGATGCCAAAGACATTAAGGTGGAAGAAATATCAGAAACAAACTCAAAAGTGATTTTTAAGAATAGTGTGTTGGCAAACCTTGTTTATTTATGTGGATTTTTTCCTTTTACTGAAAATAGATTTTTTTCCTCATATAATATATCTTTCTCCCCCTCTATTCCTCTCAGCTCTTCCTCACCTCCCCTCCCATCCAGAAGCACCTCCAATAAAAATATAAAACTGGAAGTCATAATATATACACAAAGAACCCATAAGGTAATAAAAGAGAATAACAGCATATAATTAGTATAATTAGTATAATATATATATACATATATATATATATTATAAGAAAATAAAAAGATAAATTTCTTTTTTAAAGAAACAAAAGAAAAAGTTCTGACAGGATGTTATGAGACAAGAAACCTCCAAAAATGCCTTTGAGTTAGTTTTCTCTTGGCCATCTATTGCTGGGTATGCAGCCTATTCTTTTAAGAGTAGTTGTTTCCCTAGTGAGACGCCCTTGGAGAAAATAAAATCTTCATTTGCAAGTGTTATCAATTGGAGATAACTTCTGGGTTAGGGATAGGGGCATGTGTCCACTTCTCCTTTCAGCTCTAGGACTCCACCTGGTGAAGACCTGGGCAGGACCTGTGCTTGCTACCTCAGTATCTGTGTGTCCCTATGTGCATCAATCCTGTTGATTTAGAAGCCCCTGTTTCCTTGGTGTCCTCCATTCCCTCTGGCTCCTACACTCTTTTCTCCTCCTCTTCTGTAGGGTTCCCTGAGCTCTGAAGGGAGGGATTTGATGGAGACATCCCTTGTAATGCTGAGTATTCCAAGGTCCCTCATTCTCTGCATATGGTCTAGTATGTTCCTATCTGCTTCAAGGGGAGGTTTCTCTGATGATAGCTGAGCAAGACTTTGAACTCTGATTACAGCAGAATGTCATTAGGAGTCATTTATTGCTACATTTTTTTAAAAAAAGAAAATTAATATTTGGTTTTACCCTGGGTCTCTGGAGTAACTAGTCTCAGATTCTTGGTCTTGGTTATCCAAGCACTGTTGGATGTGGATTCCATCTTGCAGAGTGGGCTTTAATGCAAGTTAGATATTCGTTGGTTTCTTTCAAGCTTTGCACTAGCATATCTTGCAGGCAGGACACCATTGTAGATTGATGAGGATTGCATTGAATATGTAGATTGTTTTTGGTAGGATGACCAGTTTTACTATATTAATTCTACAGATCCATGAACATGGTAGCCCTTTCCATCTTTTGGTATATTCTTCAATTGCTTTCTTCAATGTCTTAGAATTTTTACTATACTAGTCTTTCACTTACTTGGTTAGAGATACCACAAGGTATTTTATATTATTTTTGGCTATTGTGAAAGGTGTTGCTTTCTTGATTTCTTTCTCAGTCCTTTTGTCATTTATGTATAGGAGGGCTAATTCTACAAAAGCAAAGGAGAATGACACTGAACTTCTGATCCTTCCATCACCACCACCTGAGTGCTGAGATAATAGTATGTGGCACCATGGCAAGTTCATGACTCTTATTTTTTTATTTCTTAGGTAGGAGTAGATCTATAACACACATTCTCAGGTTTCTTGCCAAGTGATAAAATAAGATTCTGTGAGGAGGAATTTTAAAGGGATAAAAGAAAATCTGAGTGCCTGATAGAATTTAGACTACACTCAAAATCTTGCAAAATGTCCTATACTATCTACACACAAAGGGAAAACAGATCTACCATAAAATAGAAAATTAAATATTTTGTTTATCATTGATAGAAAATATACAGAGTGAGCAATAATTATTTCTAAGTAGTTGAAAAGTCTGCTTTAGTAATATTTACATCTAAGACAAAAAATATTTACATAAAGACAGAGAATGTTGCAACATGCTTCATCAGATAGTTGAGCTTTTGAATGCTTGCATTCCCACTTCATTACTTGTGTTCTTTGAGAGCAGTTGAACCTTGCTCTTAGGAATCAGCTGATTAAAAAAATAATACCAATATTTGCCTATAAAAATCAAATGATACCACATAGGTGGGAATATTTAGAGCTGACTGCCTGAGTGTAGTAAGTAGTCATGAATGGTGATTTCCTTAGTTTTGAGTGCTATAAGAGAAAAAAACTCATCTAGGGAATTAAGTATCTTTCCAAAACATTAGCATGTTTGTTGTAAATTCAGACCAGAGCAACTTTTGAACATCTTCAACAAGTTTCAAATCTTTGTTTTGCTCTTTATCATCTTTGAGCATTTAACTGATTTTTAAATCAAAAACTTGAGATTATTGCCTCTGAAAGAGAGATGATAATATTTAGCTCTCAAGATTATTGTCTGTCCCAAGTTTGAAACATGGAAGGCACTAACACCTGGAGAACTTTGTGCTCAACACAATGGCAGCTATCATCATTAGAATCCAAGCAAATCCCCTATATTATTTTCATAGCAATATGTTAACTTTGATGATTATTTCCCTTGTTGATTTCCAAATAAAAAAATTATCTTCTTTCTGAAATCTATCTTGAAAAGTGGGAAGGATGTTCAATTTTGGGTTCTAGCCCAAATTGCACTAATTTTAGTGACAAATGGAATAATAGAATGACCTCGGAAAGTAAATTAGAAGCTAGAACTAAAAATGTTTATTCGTTCAGAATCCTACATCTGCAGATCTAGATTCTGAGAGTCTGTTCTTTGACACATAGACTTTCATCATAAAATAATGTCAACAACATTAATGACTAATATCTATTCATAAAACAATATCAACAACATTAGTGACTAATATTTATTGAGTGTTTATGAAGTGGTGCTATGTTTTGAAGATTGCCGTCTTTAATTTACACTAAAATCCTGAGACATCCCTCTTACTTTTCTCACTTTATACATGAAGAAATAGATATCTATAAATTATCACAAACTGTCCAAATAGCCCCATGACAAGGTAAACCCTAAGCAGCCTTGCTTTTCTTGGATATTTTAGGACACAGATTTCATATGCATGGAAACACCACATGGCTGATCATGCTAAAAGTCCGAATTACCCAATAGCTCTTTTATTTATTTAAATATAAGACTAAAAGCCATATGTAACACTACCTTAATAGGCACAGTTGCCAGTACAGTGTACACTGCTCAAAAAGAACACCAAATGACCACAGACTCATAAACTTCACACTCATTT